GTTTTCTTTTTAAATAAATTAAACTAATATATTTTTCTTGTTATTAATTATGAGTTATTGCTTATATTGATTTAGTCTGGGCTTTATTTTAAAAAAAGTATAAAATATGAATCTAGCTTTAGTTCTTTTTAACTTTGAAATTGTTAAAAAGCATTATTTGTTGGTAACTTTAAATGATTATATTTTATATACACATATTTTATATATTTTTTTTGAACAGAACAACTTTTAAAATATATTTTTCTCTGTGCTCAGTCATTGGGACTGAATTTCATGTTATTGTCTCCTTCTATTGATTTATTTGGTTTGTGTCCTCTTCCTGCCACATTCCTTTTTTATCATTTGCCATTTTATTTGTGTGCTTATTTTTGATTAGATTTATTTATTTTTATTTTCGCTGAGCCGTCGTCGGCGTCGTCGATGAAATTTAATAATTCCACTTAATGCAATAATAATTTCGTCGCCTTTTGTTGCCGGCCCCAGGATCGGCATCAGAAGCCCGGGCGCCGGGCATCCCCATTGCCGGGCATCCGTGCCATCGTTGTCGTCATCATTTTTGTGGCCAACGCATAATTTGTGCGAAATTTGTCAGATTGCTGCCACAGCGTCGGACGAGCTCTTAAGGCTGAGTAATGCCGGGAATCGTGGGAATCCGGGGAATCGGGGGGGGGTGGCAGAGTCATTTGTAATATGTTTTATTTGACTTGCGGCAGCTGCTTCTCTCAATGAAGGCTAAGTAATTGACGCTCCGAACTCCCGGCGGAGGGGGCGTGGCACAGTGGCAGCTGATTACAATTAGTTTGGGGAGTTTCGCTAAACTGTTGCCACCCGGGAAAATTGACGGAAAATGAGTGGCTAACAGCTCAGAATTGGCGTCAATTGGGAGTTGGCATTTATTCGCCATTTATATTCCTGTTGCCTATAAAAACACGCACCTGACAACTCACTTTAATGTATGTCAAACCTCAGCACTTGGCAACCGGCTGGAAAAAAAAAAGAAACCAAAAACACAAATAAGAATGGTAAAAAATTCCAGCGGCCTCTTTTTGACATTTTGAGTGACATTATTTGTGTCAACAATAAAACACTCAGGCAGCAAGAGCGAGATGAAGACGGTAAGCGAAAGGAAAAAGTGCGAGTGCACTGAGAGAAAATTAAGTATTGACAATAATAGTATTCTAAACTGAACAACACTAATTATCATATAATATGATAATATGATCCTTTCTTATTGTATTGGACATGACTTGCCAATAACTAAATATTATAATAATGAAAATAATAAATTAAAATCGCATTAGTGTTAAGTGCATTTCTAATTTTTATTTTTGTATTTTAATTTTGGAGAACAAATTACAAGTAGTCTCTTATTGGAGTATTGAAAGATACCAGACTAAATATCAAACTTAATATCAAACTATATAGTATATATCTTGGAAGGATACATAAATAGTTTATTTGAATAAAAACCGATGTATTTAACCAATAAATATAGATATATAGATATAAAGAAGATTTCAGGGGTGATATACTAGATTTTCCCGATGTGTATATAGGGAGTTGGCAGCAAGTAAGCACCAGTACAAAGTGGAAAGTGAAAATAAGCAGCAGAAGGAAAACGAACTCAAACCAAGGCCAGCGCAATTTAAAATTCAATAAAACTTCAATCAGCGTTTAAAAATGTGTGTGTGTGGGTGTGTCGATGAGTGTGGGTTGCTGTGTGTGTATATTTGTATTTGGCAAGTGGAAAGACAGCGCCCAGCAATTTAAACAAATTGAAAGCAAGCGCAAATAAAAAACAGTTTGTTGCCACTTTTCACATCAATTACGCACTTCAGCCGAAATAGGCGACGAGGACGAGAGGAAGAAGAAGGCAGCCCAGAAACGACGAAGACGCAGAACGAGTCCTTCGAACCGCCCACCACCCAACCACCCAACCTCCCAACCACCCCCTCAATCTCTTCGGCTGCTGCTTCTAGTACAAAAATAACACTTGAAACTAAACGCGCATTCAGGCAACGCCGCTGCCACTGCCGCAGTCGACGTAACAGCCTGCCACACCCACCAACAACAACAATTTTCGCCTGCGAACACGGGGCGTATTTTTCCACGTTGTTGTTGCTTTTATCCCATGACCAGCGGGGGAAAAACGCGAGGGTGGGGGGACTCCAATTGCCACCCACAATATTTGAATACGTGCCTTTTCCTCTATGTATGCGTTTGTGCGCGCGTGTGTGTTTGTCTATGTTTTCCTTAGCAAAAAGCGAAAGTAAATGTTCGAAAATCGCAAGAGGGAAAAAATCAAGTAAGCATCGGTGGAAAAAGTAAAGCATATATGGGGATGACGAAGCTTTGATGCTCTGGGGGGATTTTAAAAAGGATGACAACCGATTTTGAAAAATAAATCTGGACAAATAGGTATAAATCCTTTTCATAATTTTTCAAGCTCATAGAAAATGGTTGGAATTACCTTTCATGAAACTTAAATTTAAGAGTTTTTCAGGATTCAATGATTTGACCGAGTAATTTAAGAATTGATGATTTGGAATTTGTCTTTTTTGCTTAGAATTGTTAAAAGCATTAGTAAATTGTATTTAAAAAGCCATTTTGAGTTATATGAAAAGAAAAATTGATTTACCATCTAAACTATCGCTACAATTATTTTTTAGATATATATTTATATTTCAGGCTATATAGAAAATGTACCATAGTTTTGATATTAAATAATTCCACCATCACCGCTTAAAACAGAGAGTAAAATATTTAAAACCCCTGCTTGCCACTTAAAGCCCTGCTGCGAATGTTGTCTTTAAAAATTCCCAGAACCCAGAGCAAACATAAGCGGGAATCTGCAAGTCCGTGTACCGTGTTTCCCCTGGGGAATCTCGACAAACGCTCCATACCCTTTTCGCAGAGTATTGAAGATGGGCAAAAAGCGAAATGCTGGCAAGCTTTTTATTGCGCGTGATAACAAGCGGGGAGGCTGGTGGCCGGAATAGTCCTAAGGTGCCGAAGGACGCGGGGGCGTGGCAAAAGAGGGGCGTGGGAAGGGAAAGGGGGGGGGCTGAGGCGAAGCGGTACGAAGAACTGAAAGATCTGAAACCTGGCGAACTGGAATCTGGTGGGCCTCTGGTGTCTGGGCAGTGCGCTGTTTGATGTTATTATAGATGACGATGACGATGATGATGACGGTGACGACAGCGCGGCTCACACACCCACACACCCCCACACACTCGCATCCTCAGCCAGGATGATTTAGCCCCATGCCCCTCGTCATAGCCAGAAAACCTCCTCAGTTTACTTAGAAGACTGCCAATCAAAGTCGCCGCGGCAAATGTCTTGTTCTTTGGCTTGTTCAGGTTGTCAAGGCTCCTCAAGTACATGCGTGTGTGTCTGTGTCCTTTCACTATGAGTGTGTTCGTTTGACAGCCATTACTTTGTTGCCTAGGTGTTGCCGTCGCCATTGACAATGATTTGCTCTGGCTTAAAGGCGCCCGATCCACCTGGAATTTAAGTCGCTTCAGGCGGATTCTGGGCCTACAAATATCTGTTATACTTTGCCAACTAAATCCTTTTCCTTTATTGCTTTGTTTGATTTATCATTAATGAACTTAAGCTAGACGTTTTGTAATATCCATTTTTATATTTCGTATAATTAGTACACTTTAATCTATTCTTACTATATTTGTTGAAATTGTAAGTATAAAATGCTAAGGAAAAAGTTCATAAATAATAATAGTATTGTTATTATGTATAAATATCTTTTTATTATGATATATTATAAAAATGTTCTTTTGAATAAAAGTCTGATAATATTGTTAAATACGAATAAATCTAAAAGTTTTAAGCTAACATATGTCTTTTTCCAAATTACTTTTTGACGAATTATTAAAATCAGTAAATTTGGTCTGTGCTTAAAGTTTTTGTGTAAATTAAGAATTCATAATCAGATGTTTGTTAATTTCGGGCTTTTCTTTCAGCAGTGCAGAGAGCTTAAGCGAAAGTAGCATCAAGAAATTTGGTATTCATTATTTAATTCGCTGAGCGACATTTGTCAAATCTATGGGAATTACTATTTCCGGCGGAAGTTCGTCGCTCTCCGCTTTCTTCGCCGGCTACCTGAGCTGCGTTTACGGAATTACGACAGAGTCCTTGCTGGCGCTGTTGTCCTGTTCCGCGGCTGCTGCTGGCGCCTAACAATATGCAATAATAACAATTTACATATTCATGAGACGCCCGACCCGCAAACAGCAGCAACAACACAAGAGCGAGCAGGGGGCGGTGGGCGGTGGACGGAGGTGAAAGTGGAGCGGCGGCAGTTTGCATAAAGAGCAGCAGAGGCCGCTTAAAAAAATCAACAAGAGCCCTCCCCCGCTCTTCTCCCCTCGCCATCGCTCTTGTAAACCCGATTGGACAGCAGCCCTTTTGTTAAGCCGGGGCGTAACTGTAGCTGGCCAAATATTTATATTTATTTCAACCTTCCATCTTCCACCCTCCCTGCTCATATATTTATTTTTCATATTTTTATGATATTTATTTTTGGGGCTGGTATTTTGTTTGCCCCGGCAGCGCAAATTTTTGCGCTTCGAATACTTTAGCGAGTTGGATTTTGAATGTTGATTTGCTGCGGGGAGGGGGGTTTTGGGGGAAATGGGACTTCAGTGGTGGGTGGAAAAGGTTAAGCTACAAGTATTATTTTTAGTTGGGCGACCACGATTGAGGCTGTGGCCCGCTCTTAGCATTCGCATTAGCATCCGCATCCGCTCTTTGGGAATCTCGGCAAGAACCTACCACAAAAATAAATCAAAACAAAGGCCGTCGAGATGTAAGAGCCGAAGAGATGAACAGCATCCACATGAGATTTGGAGAGTCGGCGCTCTGTTTTCTCTCGCGCAGCGACGCCTTTGAGAACAGCGGACTGAGAATCGAGAACTGAGAACAGAGAACTTTGGAACTTGGGAACTTGGGAACTGCGGAGTCCGTCAGTCAGGTGCAGACAGTTGACGTGTTCGGTTGACAAAAGCGGAAACGTGCACTAGTCAATTTAGCCAAATACAAGAAAAAAAAAACATCTGACACACACAGAGCGCTTGAGAGAGCAGGATAGATAGCAGCGGGCGAGCGAGAGAGAGAAGGTAGCCAGCCATAAAAAAAAACGGGAAAAAAACAGCAGCGATGCCAGCAGCAACTTGATAAATGATATGAATAATGTGAAAATAATTGCTACAACAACTAATACCACTACTGGCAAATAGAGCAAGACAAACAACAGCAGCAACAACAACAAGCGCCTGTGTGTCCGTGTCCCCGTGTGTGTGCGTGTGTGAGAGAGAGAGCGCGCGAGTGTGTGTGTGAGTGTTTTGTATCTGTGCCAGTGTGAGTGCGTGTCACATATCAGCAGCAGCAGCAGAAGAAGAAGCAGCCGCAGCAGCAGAAGAAGAAGAAGCAGCAGCAGAAGTTCAGTGGAAAAGCACGCAGCCAAGCAGGAAAATTTGTAAACGAAGTCGGCAGAGCGGCGGCAGCGGAAAAGCAGCGCAGCAGCAGCGACGCAGGCAGAAGGTAGGGCTAGGACATTTTCCTTTTTCCACAGCGGCAGCATAACTCACCACACCCTGATCCTGCAGGAGGCAGCATCAGCAGCTGCGCACAGATTTTCCCAGAGACAAAGAGACAGGGAAAGTGAGAGAGATTTTCCTCCCGAGATAAACGTGCAGAGAGAGAGAGAGAGAGCAGAGAGAGAGAACGGAGAGAGCCAGATTTGCGCTGCTTTTCACGTGGAGTCTGTGCTATGCACAGAAATTCCCATCCATCCATCCATCCAACACAGGACCCCTTATCCTTCGACAACCCCTCCCTCCCCGCCACAGACTCACAGTAAAAAGTAGTAGGAAAAAACATACACAAAAAAGTTATGAAAGTTCGGTCCAATTGTCTTTGGTGATTTTTCATAGCCCGCTTTTGTGGGACGCGCTACTTGGCCCGGGGCATAGAAAACAGCTCAAGTAATTGCTCTAAATTGACACAATGTGTAAACAAAGCTGCGGAAAATTCAATTTCCACACCAGCCTGACCTTGCTCTGGATTGGTAAAATTCCATTTGGGATTCCTCGGCAATTACGGACAAACTGGTAATGCAACGCGTTTGATAAACTGTAGCACAGACACTAACATACACACTTGCAGGCCGAAGGATGCCAATAAAAATGTAGGATACTGTGTCACACACACACAGATTGAGTGTGAGTGTGAGTGTGCCTTAGTGTGTGTGGCTGTGTTTGTACGTGTAAATGACCGGAAACTGTGCTCAAGTGCTGCCTGGCAAGCGATGAGGCTACTTTGGCCAGAAGCCGTCTCCTTTCTTTCTTTCGGGGACTCCCTCTCGTGCTCCTTGCGACGGAGAAGCACTTCAATTGTCAAATTGCTCTTGCTTATTGTTGCAATAGTTCTGCTGATGGACAGGTTTTCCCGTTTTCCCTGCTCGCCATGCTCCTTTCACTTGTTTTTAAAGCGATCCCCGCAAACATAGTCGCTTTTTATGGGCGTCGTCCTGTCGTCTTTTCCAGCTCTTCTTGCTCAAGCAAAGCCGGGCAAAACGAAACAATCAACGCGGAAGCAGATTCCTCGTTGTTCTTCACTCCTGTCGTTGTTTTCTTTCTTTTTTTTGTGTTGTGCTGTGCTGGGTTGTTTGTTGTTCTGAGCCGTTGTGTTGTTTTTCTATGCCGGGCTGTGTACAAATCAGCGTGGCCTAGTGCGCTGCTTGAGGTTGGTGCTTTTGTGCCGTGAAATGCGAGTTTTATGGCGGAGTGCCTGGGCTTCATCGGGTTGACATTTAAGTTGTTTCTTTCCCGTCATTCAAGCGGTCCCGGAGTGTGTATGTGTGTCTGGTTTGGCTTGGCTTGGCTCGGCTTGGGAAAGTTCAAAAGTCAACCAAGTTCTGGGAATTCCTGTTCCCCTGCGAACTTTTACCACTCAATGTGCATGGGGCGTATGAGCAATGCGAGGCGCAAGGCGCAAGGCGCATACGCCCCGTGCACGTCCTTCTGTCAAGCTGAAAGCCACAACTATCGCCAATCAATTGAATTAAACTCGGGCCAAATTGCAGTGCACGTGGCAGGCGGCAGTGGAAAATTGAAAATTGCATTTTCCCCCCGGCCCAAGTAAATTGAAAGCTGTCAGCGCGTCTGATTCACCGCCGACTCAACAAAAAGGCAAACCGAAGTCAGAATTTCATAAACAGGACAACTGAAAATATTGAGATACACACACACACACTGATACACAGACACTTGACGTTGGGCTAGACAAAGGCAAAAAGGCAATTATAGAAATACAGACGAGAGCGGCAACAAATAATAAAAGCAAGTTGCCATAGACAATCACAACAACCACGGGGGAAAATGGAAAGATTTGAGGGGACGATGGCAACGATGTTGACGACAAGTAGCTGCAAAAGTTCTGCGACGTTTTGCGCATATTAAACAAAGTTGACGACAGCGACGCCGCCAGAGACGCCGGCAGTGGGCAGCAAACCGAGAACTTCAGACCGAGTTCTCCGGACTATGGACTCCGGACTCCCGTCTCCGGACTCCCGACTCCGGACTGAGAATTGCGAATTGCGAACTGTGAGCTGAGAACTCAGGCAGCGGCAGCCGCAGTCGCCGTCTCATTATTTATTTGATTGCCCGCACAGCCAACGCTCGAATTACCCCTGGGAAAAACCGGGGTTGGAGCAAGAACCATTGAGAAAACAGAGCCACAGCCAGAGCAAAAAAACATAATAGTCAGAAGCATAAACGTAATTAATAAGGCAAATTAATGCAAACAATAATACAAATTCATTTTCGTGCACAAATGAAACTAAATTACAACAACGTGAGCCTGGTATTCTGGGTATGTTCTTGGGGCAAATTAAACATGGTAAAGATTTTGCTTTAATTGGACCTTTTTGTGGTACAGCTATTTAGTTGAGCGAGAGAAAATAATTTAAATGGAGTGCTGGAGGGTTTTCAATTTAATCGCTTGTTCACATTTGTTATCTCGAGCTTAAATGCACAAAAATATCCCTATTATGATGAAGATTATAATCTGCATTGCATTTGTCTTATTATTTAAATGAAAATATGATTGTCGAGCTTTTACATGGACATGGACAATTTAATTTTAATCTTTTGTTGCTTTTGTTCTTTTTTTGAATAGAGTTGAATATCAACAGCTTTAGGGCATCACCATTTCATCAATATTTTGAATGAGTTCTTTTATGCATGAAACTTCCAAGAAATCCTTTCCAAAACAAAAATACATGCCTAGCATTTGAAAACTCCTTAAAAATAGAATAATTTTCTTCAGATGGTGTTTCGGTCATCTTCTGCCCTGTTTATAAATATTTAATTTTGCAAAGCACTTGTTGGCAGCTTGGCACTTTGTCAATTCATTCGACTAAATCTTTTATTAATTAATTAGATTCTGGTCTTGGTATTCCTGCTTTACTCTCCGCAACATCGACGGGAAAGTTATTATACCCTTCGCAACCTGCAAGAACAACAATAAATGGCAACTAATAAGCACAGGTCACAAATACCCACACCCTTAAACACACACACACACACATAGACCATCGACAACTAAACAGTTCGTCGAGCAGAAAAACGAGGAAATCTACTTAATCACGTTTAATTAAGGTGAGTTTATAAGTAGCCCTCTGAGCGGGTGTGTGAATCTGGATGTGGGTGTATATCTGCGGGTCGGCTGGCATACAAACTACATATACATTTTTTTGCGAATGCTTTTATTGCCATTTTGCGGAGGAGCCGACGTCGAATGATACAAAAGAGCTTGCCAGGTAATCACAACTGGCCTCAGCCCCACATAAATGCAAATTAGGGTTAGATGTTCACGAGTGTGTATATGGCATTGGGTGTGGTTGTGTAGTAAGTGTGCGGCTCAGGGGATTATGATAATAATTATGCAAGTAGCATGAATGGATTTATTGGCTGCACACTCATCAGGAGTCAACTGTTGGCTCATTTTGCATGGCCACTTCCGTTTTCGACTGGCTCACCAGCATCCCGTTGAGTGGAGCGATTCCGCTTTTCATTGGTGCACTTCAGCTGGAGCTCCTTCACAGCCTCATTCTCAATGCGATGGATGTCGTCTAGACCAATCTCTGGGAAGATCTTGATTTTACGCTGATCCTTATTCGGCTGCCACATAATTAGGACAATTGAAAGTGCAGAAAAAAAACCAAGGGGAAAGCACTAAAATCTGGCTTGCTTAATGCTCGAGTTGTTCTTTAGTTTGCCTTCGCTTTGATTTATGCCAGGCCAAGTTGTTGTCACTGTCACACACAGACCTGCCTGCTATCTGTGCCGTATGTCACACATTTGGTTAATTGAAAAAGCATCAAGGCCCTCATCATTAGCAAAAGCTTCGTGACTTATGTCGCTGCTCGTCCGACCTCTGCTCCTGCTCCTGATTCTGCTCCTGTCGCCCAACCCCGCATCCTTTGCCAACCAGGACCTCCTTCCCATCCTTCCTTTATGTAATCGATGCATGTCGAACAGCAGCAACAAAGCCAACAACAAGTGAATGGCGTGTGTGACACGAGCTGAAAAACAAAACGAACGAGCAGAAAGGAGAGCACACAGGACCTAAAATAGTGACTAGATGGGGAGGGGGGAGGGGATCGAGGATATTGAGGGGAACCAGGCGAAATAGGGGGGAAAAATGGAACAAACAAAAACCTATCAAGTTGTATGCTCGTTGATTTCAATTTGTGAATTGTTGTTCTTTGGCGAATGCATTTGCATTTGCATATTGCACATACGCCATGTTGGTTGCTTGCAAACCATTCTTGTATGTTTTTCTAATTAAGCCCCAGCCAACAAATAAAAAATAATTAAAAGTCCACGATAAAAACCAACAGATAAGGGTGGAATTTGCTCTATAAATCGCGCTGTTTGCCTTTTTTCGGACTCTCTGTTTGCTTTTTTCCTTTTTTTCTCCCTGACTAGGATATAGCCTTGCTTTTTGCCAGGCGCTTGGCTAAAAAGTACATAAATTTCAAATAAGTCACGTTTCCGGCATAGTGTCCCAGCACGCACACAAAGACACAGTCCTCGCACACACACAAACACACACACAAACACACACACAAGAACACACACATACGCCTGCATGGCGACTAAAAATTTGCTTTGTTGTGGCGTCTGCGGCCAACAGCAAATAAATATTAAAAAAATGATAGTGCCCCCCGTCGGCCACGCCTTTTTCGAAAATAAAATGGAACTAAATCGGACAAAATATTTGCTGTTTAGCTTAGTTTCACTGTGACTCGCTCCCTGTCGCTTTAACTTTTAACTTCGTCCCCTCTGTCAGTCCTTATTTTTGTTTTCGTGAAACTTTTTTGATTTGTAAAGTTGCACAGTTGAGTGTGCTGGTGCTTGGTGGTCAGAATATATTTTAATGCTGATTTGCAGATTATTGTCAGTCAACAACAGTGAAAAATAGTCATAAAACATATACGAATGACCAGAAGATATGTGTAAATAATAAAAAGGGAC